GATCAACGTGTTACTGCCTTCAGGGAACAGCAGGCTGCTTTTTGGTGTGTTTGGGATAAAGGGGGGGCCAAGTACTGTGGCTCACACTTGTACTGCCCGCACTTTGGGAGGCCAAGGTGGGAGGATCCCATGAGCCCAGGAGTTGGAGATCACTCTCGGCAACATAGCAAATTTTTATCTCTACAAAATAAAAATTTAAAAACAAATTAGCCTCACGCCTGTGATCCCAGTACTTTGGGAGGCTGAGGTGGGTGGATCACCTGAGGTCAGGAGTTCGAGACCAGCCTAACCAACATGGAGAAACCCCATCTCAACTAGAAAGACAAAAATTAGCCGGGTGTGGTGGTGCACGCCTGTAATCCCAGCTACTCGGGAGGCTGAGCCAGGTTAATCCCTTGAACCCAGGAGGCAGAGGTTGCAGTGAGCCGAGATTGTACCACTGCACTCCAGCCTGGGCAAAAAAGCGAGACTCCATTTCAAAAATAAATAAATGAGGCAAATTGTGAATAATGGGGTCAGGGTTCAGGGCACACAGGTCCCTTTGTGGTATGCCTGCAACTTTTCTGCATCTTGGAAATTATTTAAAATAAAGTTAGTGGCCGGGCACAGTGCTCACGCCTGTAATCCCAGCACTGTGGGAGGCTGAGGCGGGCAGATCATTTGAGGTCAGGAGTTCAAGACCAGCCTGGCCAACACGGTGAGACCCTGTGTCTACAAAAAATACATAAATAAAAAAAGTTAGCTGGGCGTGGTGACAGGTGCCTATAATCCCAGCTACTCAAGAGGCTGGGGCAGGAGAATCACTTGAACCAGGGAGGCGGAGGCTGCAGTGAGTCGAGATCGTGCCACTGCACTCCGGACTGGGTGACAGAGCTAGACACTGTCTCAAAAAAATATAATAATTAATAAAATAAAACAAAGTTAGCAACACCCAAACAACTGATCAGGAGAGAGGAGAGTCGAGAGATCTCTGCTTACAGGTGTGAGCCACCGCGCCCAGCCAAGAATCTGCTTTCACAGCTGTTCCAAGGAAGTGCTGAGAAACTGGGAAACAGCACCCCCGTCTCACAGCACCCGGTGAGACTCTGGGGGTCTCTCAGAGCCTCAGAGGGGCCTGGGGGTGCCCAGCGTCCCGCTCCCAGGTCTGTCCCATCGCCGGCAGCAGCAAGGTGACCACTTGGTCGCAAATGGACGCTGGAGTGCCCTGGAAGCCCAGGGCCACTGGGTCGCACACAGACACTGGCCCGGCACTTGGGTTCCTCCGGGCCGCGCTCCACGGTTAGACTGGGGCCAGGTGGCCAGCAGGTGGAGGGGCCGAGGGGCCTGGTTCTGATCGGGGGCCGGGTGGCCAGCAGGTGGAGGGCCGAGGGGCCTGGGTCTGATCAGGGGCCTGGTGGCCGGCAGGAGGGGCCGAGGGGCCTGGGTGTGCTATGTGTTGTTGTGTTGTCCGTTAAATTGTGTCCACGATGTGGAGCTTTTGTGAGAATTAAACTTCAGGCCTGGCACGTGCTGAGCCCTCTGTTCTGTTCTGTTTTGTTTTTAAAGATGGGGTCTCCGCTGGGCATGGTGGCTCACACCTGTAATCCCAGCACTTTGGGAAGCTGAGGCAGGCAGATCACCTGAGGTCGGGAGTTCAAGACCAGCCTGACCAACATGGAGAAACCCTGTCTCTACTAAAAATAGAAAAATTTGCCGGGCGTGGTGGCGGGTGCCTGTAATCCCAGCTACTCAGGAGGCTGAGGCAGGAGAATCGCTTGATCCTGGGAGGCGGAGGTTGCAGTGAACTGAGATCACACCACTGCGCCCCAGCCTGGGCGGCAGAGCGAGACTCCATCTCAAACAAAACAAAACAAAACAAAACAAAACAAAAAAGATGGGGTCTCCATCTGTGGCCCAGGGTGGAGTGCAGTGGTGCGATCTCGGCTCACTGCAACCTCTGCCTCCCACTGAAGTGATCCTCCTGCCTCAGCCTCCTGAGTAACTGGGATTACAGGCGCCCGTCACCACACCCGGCTAATTTTTTTATTTTTAGTAGAGACACAGTTTCACCGTGTTGTCCAGGCTGGTCTTCAACTCCTGAGCTCAAGCAATCCTCCCACCTCAGCCTCCCAAGGTGCTGGGATTACAGGCACGGGCCACTGTGCCCAGCCTAATTCTATTTGTGTAGAGACAGGGTCTCACTATGTTGCTCAGGCTGGTCTTGAACTCCTGGTCTCAGGCGGGAGCCACTTCGCCCTGCTTAGTTTGATACAAAATCCCTACGTTCCTTCTCGTTCCCACTGTGTTTCCAGCACCTGCCTGGGCCCAGCACACAGTAGACACTCGCCAACTATTCATGCATTTGGGAATCTACTGAACACCTACTGTGCGCCGGGTATTGGCCTCACATACGGGGAGACGCCATTAATAACCCACAGATGGGCCGGGCGCGGTGGCTCACACCTGTAATCCCAGCACTTTGGGAGGCCAAGGTGGGTGGATCACCTGAGGTCAGGAGTTCGAGATCAGCCTGGCCAACATGGCAAAACCCCGTCTCTACTAAAAATACAAAATTAGCCAGGCGTGGTGGCGCGTGCCTGTAATCCCAGCTACTCAGGAAGCTGAGGCAGAAGAATCGCTTGAACCCGGGAGGCGGAGGTTGCAGTGAGCTGAGATTGCACCACGGCACTCCAGCCTGGGCTCCATCTCAAAAAAAAAAAAAAAAAAAAAAAGAAAAAAAAGCAGGGGCAGGAGAGGGGACTGGGGGAAGGACACTACCCGCAGAGGGAATGGCCTTGCAAGGTCCCAAGGTGGGAAACTGCTCAACCCACCCAAGGCGGCCAGTGAGGCTGGGGAGGGGTCAGCGAGGGGCAGGTGACTCAGGGCAGGCAGCAGAGCACAGGGAGGGCTGAGGAGGTGCAAGGGGTCCTCGCGTCTGCCCCGAGCCAACGGAAAACCCTCAGGTTCTGCCGCCTGCTCAGAGAGGTTAAGCCACTTGCCCAGGGACACACAGCCAGTTCGTGGTTTGGTGTCGTTTTGAACCAGGTCTGCTGCTCCTTCTACACTTCTGCAGCGCGAAGGCTGGTGCAGGAGCTGGGTCTGGGAGGCCTGGTGTTGAATCTGCAAGCCTTGCCCCTCGCCTGGGGTTTTCCTGGATTCCCAGGGACGGGGCCCGTGCGCTCTCTGGTGGTCAGAGCAGGAATGACTGGATTCGCGCTGCTGAAAAGACGGACAGGAAGGAGGCTTAAACCCCTGTCCCCAACCTCGGATATTCAAAACCCTAAATGCAGGACAGGCTTGGTGACTCACGCCTGTAATGCCAGCACTTTGGGAGGCCGAGGCGGGCGGATCACCTGAGGTCAGGAGTCTAGGCCAGCCTGGCCAACATGGAGAAATCCCGTCTTTACTAAAAATACAAAAATTAGCCGGGTGTGGTGGTGCCCAGCGTGTAATCCCAGCTACTCGGGAAGCTTAGGCAGGAGAATCACTTGAAGCCGGGAGGCGGAGGTTACAGTGAGCCGAGATCGTGCCATTGCACTCCAGCCTGGGTGACAGAGCCAGGCTCCATCTCTAAAAAGCAAACAAACAACAACAAAACAAAACAAACAAACAAAAAACCCTTCAATGCACAGGCTCCAACTCTTAATTCCTCAACAGTCTGGCTCCAATGCCTCATTTTGCAGGAAGACCAACTCCAATCAAATCCTGTTCATCCCTCAAAGCCCTGGTTCCAATGTCCTTTCCCCTCAGAAGCCCTTTCTCTCTCCCGAGGAAGAGCTGGGGTCACCCCTGAGTCCCATACTCTGGTCCAATCTCATGGGGCTGGGGGTCTCTGCGTGCGTTCAGCATAGGGTCTGGTATGCAGTAGGTGCTCAATGAGTGTTGAGTGAATAAAGAAATACATGCATGATGCCGGGCGCGGTGGCTCACGCCTGTAATCCCAGCACTTTGGGAGGCTGAGGTGGGCGGATCACGAGGTCAGGAGTTCGAGACCAGCCTGGCTAAATATAATGAAACCCCGTTTCTACTAAAAATACAAAAATTAGCCGGTGTGATGGCACGCACCTTTAGTCCCAGCTACTTGGGAGGCTGAGGCGGGAGAATAGCTTGAACCCAGGAGGTAGAGGTTGCAGTGAGCCGAGACTGTGCCATTGCACTGCAGCCTGGGTGACAGAGTGAGACTCTGTCTCAAAAAAAAAAAAAAAAAAGAAATACATGCATGATTGGGCCAGAACTAACCTCAGAAATGATCCTGGCCTGCGCTGGGTGTTGATACCGTGTCTACTGATTAAATTTGGAAGGGGGGGTTAGGTTTCCTGTCCTCTCCGCACCCGGGAGGCTCCTGGGCCGTCAGCCTGCGGAGCATCTTGGAAACACGGCCACAAGCCACAGACCTCAGCCTCTGTCTGACCCCACGGGTCCCAGCCAGGCCCAGGCAGCGCCCTGAGACCCCCTCTGCCTGTATTCCGCAGCTGAAGGAATGCCTGCTGTGTGTCAGGCGCTGCTGTGGGTCCAAAAATCCCTTCGCTGCGCAGCTGAGCTGACAGTGCCACGGGGCGGGAGGGCAGCAGAGGAGCCCTTGTAAGCTGACATTTGAGCAAAGACCTGGAAGAAAGCCACGTGGGGGTTGGGGGAGCGCTGCACCGGGAGGGGGCGGGGAGAGGGCGCCTGGCGAGCCCCAGGAACAGTGGGGACAGTGGGCTGAAGCACCATGAGGGGAGAAGGCGATGAAGTAGGGAAGCACTGAGGGACACGAGGACCCTGGCAGCTTCGGGAGACGAGGAGGGCCTCGGCGCCACCTCGCGCAGGACCCGCTCCTCGTGTCTTCCGCCGCCTGGACTTGGCCCCCGTCGGAAGCCCCACCCCCGCTGGAACCCCGCCCCCTCTCGGAGCCCCGCCCAACAGCCGGGCCTATTTTGCCTCTCAGCGGCCACCGTCGCCCCGGCCGCGGCCCGCTGAGTGCGCAGCCTACGCCGCTCCCGCGTCCGCGCTCCGCCCCGCGTGCCGTGCGTGCCGTGCGTGAGCGTGCGCGGGCGCGTCGGCCGGCGAGGGAGCAGCAAACGGCCGGCGGCTGGCGCCGCGCGGGGGGCGGGCGGCGCGGAGTAGGCGGCGGCGGCCATGGCCGAGGCGTCGCCGCAGCCCGGACGGTACTTCTGCCACTGCTGCTCCGTGGAGATCGTCCCGCGCCTGCCGGTGAGGCCCGGGCCAGAGCGACGGGCGACAGGGTCTGTGCCACAGGCCTGAGGCAAGGCCGAGGCCGGGGCCGGGGTGGGGGTCGCTTGCGCGAGCTGGCCAAGATAGGGAAACTGAGTCTCGGGGCAGCGCCGGCCCAGGCTGGATCCGCGGGGAGCCCAGGCGGTGCGGGCGCGAACCCCGTCCTGCACATGCGGGAAACTGAGGCCTGGGCGGGAGGCGGGGCCTGGCCGGAGCGGCGCAGCGGGATCGCGGCTGGGTGACCCCACATCCGCGGCGTTCCCGACCCTTGAGGCCGCGAGGATCCCAGGTGGGACCTCCGAGTCCGGTGAGCCTGATTTTGCAAACGGAGAAACTGAGGCCTGGCGAGCGGAGAGAGGGTATTGCTCGGTGGCGCGGCACGGGGCAGGGGCCAGGCCTGGCGGGGCCTGGAGGAGGGGATGGCGGGGCTCGGACCCCGAGAATAACGCCAGGGGACCCCCGCCGAGCGCGTGGTCTGGGGCGCCGGCGCCTCGCTGCAGGTTCGCCTTGTGGAGCCCTGGCCGCCGCCTTGGAGGCAGGCCCAGGCCCGGGAGGCTGCAGGCACCGTCCCGGGGTCCGAGCGCGGCCCGCCGGCGGGGCTTTGTGACCGGAGCCTGCGTTCTTCCCCTCCCGGGGCTTGGCCGGGCAGCCCACTCCTCCTCGAGGTGTTTACAGCCACCCCTCGCCCGGGAGGACCCTGGGCCTGGGCGTTCCGAGTGCTACTTCCTGCTCGTTCAGGGCAGTGTTTCCCACGCGGCCCTGATGTCACCTTGGGGGAGGCGGGGGCTGTGCTGGTCGGACGTGCTATTTCCAGGCCCCTTTTCCAGGGTTTCGGAGTCAGTCGGTGTGGAATGGGCTCAGCAGTCTGTATATTTAATATTATTTTTAGAAATAGGGTCTCCCTGTGTTGCCCAGGCTGGTCTTGAACTCCTGGGCTCAAGCGATCCTCCTGCCTCAGCTTCCCAAAGCGCTGGGATTACTGGTGTGAGCCACCATGGCCGGCGGTGGTCTGCATTTTTAACCAGTGTTCCCCTTCCCCAGGCTGACGTGGAAAGTGGTGATTTAGTCGAGCCACGCCTGCTTCATAGATGGGGAAACTGAGGCCTGTGGTGGCTCAGCAGGAAAGTGGCAGAGCCGGCTCAGTCCCCAGCCGCTTGACGAGCTTGAGGGGAGCAGCTGCAGGAGGTGGAGGGGTCTGGACTCCCCACCCTGTGCCCAGGGGAAGAGACTGCAGGCATTGAGGATTTACTGTGCTCTCTGTGTGCGTTGCCGCCTGGTTGTTGCTGCGATTTGACCCCTAAGGGGAGCCCGAGCCCCCAACAAGCAGTGCAGAGACCCAGGAAGGGGCTGGAGGGAGTCGGGAGAAGCCGCATGTCTGGGGTGACAGAGGAGGAACGAGTGCTAGAGTGGGGCATGGTGGGACCGCGGTGCCAGGCCCAGAAGTGGAGAGAGAGGTGTGGTTTCCTCTCTACTGAAGCCACCGGGCTTCCCCTCCCCAGCAGGAGGAACAAATAAAGTGAAATCTCGGATGTGGGGTGAAGGCTGGGGAGCTGAGACTGAGCCTTGCCTTGCTCCTCTGTCTCCCAGGGGTCTCACTCCTGCGTCTTCCCGCTTCCTGTCCCCACTGGCCGTGACAGGAGGGGCTGGTTGCCTGACAGCCTGCCTGCCTGGGTGAGTTGCAGGGCAGCCCCTCGCCGCCGCGGTGAGCCCTGGGACAGGCCCTGGGAGGCCCCCTGGGAAGCCCGAAGTGGTGGCTGTGGCGGGGGGGGGCGCCGACGCTGCCCTGACCTGGCTGCACACTTAGCTGCTCCTGGAGCCTGCACAGGACTGGTGGCCTTGGACAGGGAGGACCCTGACCTCCTCTGACTGTCACTGGGCCTGGCGAGGCTCTCCTGTGGTCACAGGATCTCAGTGGTGACAGGTAGTTGTGGTCTTTGCCCTCACAGACTTTACAAGCTGGCCAGGGAGCCAGCATGGAACAGTGATTGACAAATATTTAATCATGGACGTTGGTAAATTCCTTAAGAGCAAATAACTACAGGGAGGGCTGCCGGGGGACTGCCCGTCTCCACCCCACAGGTGATCCAGAGGGCACCTGCTTGTGCCTTTGGAGCAGGACGCAACAAGGTGCCCGTAGACAGCGTGGTAGCGTCAGAACTTCTCTGTGCGTGGCGAGGCCCCGTTTCTAGAGAAGACTGAAGCAATTAGTGGGGTGTGTTGCTGCGCGCCTGGAGTCCCAGCTCCGGGCAGGTGCTGAGGTGGGAGGAGCACTTGAGCCTGGCAGGTGGAGGCTGCGGTGAGCCGTGATGGTGCCACTGCACTCCAGCCTGGGTGACGAGCAAGACGCTGTCTCAAAAACGAGTTTTCTGTGCTGGGAAATGGGCACACCTGGTTCTGGGGCGGGAAGGAGGGAAGGCTGCTCCGAATCTGGTAATGGGGAAAGTCCCTAGCCACAGCCAGCACCCTCGAAACGGCGTCTCTGCCAATGGGGAGCTTGCGCGGCAGCTGAGTCTGAGGCGGCGGTGCTGCTGCGGAGACACCTGGGCTGGCTGTCAGAACGCTCCTGCCTGCCTCTGACGCGGAGGGGACTGGCTGGGCTGTGCGCCTGCCCACGAGGGCTTCCCCCGGGCAGCTGGGCTGTTCCAGGCCTCCGTTGCCTTCCTGGGCTCTGGGATCAGGCTGAGGCCCCACGCGGCTGGGCCGCTCTCTGCTGGGCAGCCTGGGCCTCAGTCTCCTCACCTGCGAAGTGGGTTTGGTGGTATGACTCCCTCCCCATGGCATCCGGTGGGCACGTGTGTGCAGAGTGGCCGGCACCTGGCTGCTCTCCTGGTGACTTGTGAGGGTGCCCTGAGCGGGAGCCACACTCGCGGTCAGAGGCTCAGGCGACGGCACAGGGGCGACAGTTGCCCCCACGAAAGGCGGTGACGAGGCCGGGCACAGTGGCTCACGCCTGTGGTCCTAGTGCTTCGGGAGGCTGAGGTGGACGGATCACCTGAGGTCAGGAGTTGAGATCAGTCTTGGCCAACATGGTGAAACCCCGTCCCTACTAAAAATACAAAAAATTGGCTGGGTGCGGTGGCTCACGCCTGTAATCCCAGCACTTTGGGAGTCCGAGATAGGCAGATCACGAGGTCAGGAGATCGAGACCATCCTGGCTAACACGGTGAAACCCCGTTTCTACTAAAAATACAAAAAATTAGCCAGGCGAGGTGGTGGGCGCCTATAGTCCCAGCTACTCGGGAGGCTGAGGCGGGGGAGTGGTGTGAACCTGGGAGGCGGAACTTGCAGTGAGCCGAGATTGCGCCACTGCACTCCAGCCTGGGCGACAGCGCGAGACTCGGTCTCAAAAAAATAAAAATACAAATACAAAAAATTGGCTGGGTGTGGTGGCGGGCACCTGTAATCCTAGCTACTCAGAAGGCTGAGACAGGAGAATTGCTTGAACCTGGAAGACGGAGGATGTAGTGAGCTGAGATCGTGCCACTGCACTCCAGCTTGGGCGACAGAGCAAGACTCCTTCGGGGAGGAAAAAAAAAGAAAAAAAGAGGCAGTGACGAGAGCGTCTGGGTGTCTTAAGGAAAGGAAGCGTCAGCCGGAGTGGGGCGTGTGGTGGCAGGAACCAGACAGGCCAGCTGGAGCTCAGGCCGCAGGCGGCTGCTCAGACCCAGACTCGACCCTGCCGAGGAGGTGCTGAGTGCGGTGCTGTGACAGTAGGGTATGGGCAGAACATCCGGTGGGCAGGGACCTGCTGAGGGCACTGAGCCCCCGGGAGCCAGGCGGGCGCAGGGAGGTGGCCCTGGGTGCCGTCCCTTTCCCTGAGCTCCCGGTCTCTGGGTGGTTCCTAGGGTAGTCTCAGCTCTGCCTGCTGAGCCCCCCACCCCTGAGGACCTCTGCAGTGTCCCCGAGTGGTGAGAGGACAGTGGGGGTGCCGGACCCTGCTGCCCACCGTCGTGGGGAAGAGGCGGCGTGGGCGGGTGGGGAAGAGGCGGAGTGGGCGGGGAGCCGCCGGGAAAGTGAGGGCTGCCGCGGCCAGTGTCACCGATGGTGTCGGCCAGGAAGTCTCCCCAGCTGCCCCCCAGCCCACCCTGTCTTCTCGTCCCTGTAGCGGCCTGGCCCTCCCAGGCCTCCCGAGCAGCCCGGATGCGAGTCTTCCCGGGCTGTGCGGCGTCTGTCTCTGGCCTCCCGAGCAGCCCGGACCCGAGTCTTCCCGGGCTGTGCGGCGTCTGTCTCTGGCCACTGCTTACTCTGTGTGTCTGCGGTTGTGCCAGATGCTGTGACAGTAACAGCCCGCCCTGCCTCGCGAGCGGCCGGCCGGCACCCTGGAGCGACTCCGCACAGCTGGGTTCTCTGGAACTGGCTCCCTGCAGCACCCTGTGAGCATGGAGCCTGGTGTTGTGATTGGGCACCAGCAATACCCAGGGAACCTGTGGATGTCGGCTGACCTCTCTGTCTGGCCGGCTGGTGCAGGGGTCTGCCTCAGGCAGCTGCCGGTGCTGAATTTCCTCCCACTCAGAACTCTGCCACCATGAGGACCTTCCTGAGCCTCAGGAGAGCTGCAGCACCCCTGGCGCTGGCACAGACGGGCACGTGTGGGGTTCCGGTCTCTAGTGGTGGTGCCTGAAGCCACCTGGGAAGGAGAAGGCAGAGTTCGGGGTCTGGGCCGAGGCACCCGCTGGGGCGTGAGGCGGGGCCCCAGCGGGTCTAGGCAGCGGCTTCGCTCACACCTTGTCTGCCCAGCTTGTCCCGGGAGTGCGTGGTGCGTGGGGCCCAGGGACAGACAGTGTGAATGTGGGATGTGGTGGCAGCTGCTGAGGGCGGGAAGAAAGGGGTGCAGGCGCCACACGTGCCCGTGCCTCTGGGGCTGTGGGGCCCACACACTGTGGGTGAGCCGGGAAGCTTTGGGCATCCTTTAGGAAAACAGTGCGGGCTCCCACCGAAGCTGAGGGCCGTGCCGTCTTCCTCCCTGGGTCTCCTGATACGCACAGCTCCCTGAGAGCCCTGCCCCACACAGGGGCTCCCACCGGGGCCGAGGGCGGCACCGTCTTCCTCCCTGGGTCTCCTGATGCGCACAGCTCCTTGAGGGCCCTGCCGCCGACGGGGGCCGAGTCACTGTCTCCAGGCAGTCAGTCCTCTGGGGCCTGCAGGTCCCCAGCCCACTCCCCTCCACGCGCCTGGCCCTGGGCCCTCAGGACATGGGCCCCATGCAGGCCCTGTGGATGAAGGGCCCCCGCTGCCCTGCCAGGTCCCACCCGGGGATGAGGCCATCGCACCCCTCGGGGTGCACGCATGGGGCCCGGCACCGGCAGGCTCCTCCTGCCCTTGCTGCCTGGCCAGCTGTTGCTATGGTGATGACGGGAGGGGGGGAGTGATCTTACCTCCTGCACCTGTCCTCCGAGGGAGAGGTGAGCGGATTCACCATCCTCTGCTAGGACCGGAGGCTCCAATGGGGCCTCTGTGGGGGCCCCCAGTGCGTGCCGCTCCCGGAGAAGGTGGGGCAACTCCTCCACCAGTCCCCCTTGCCCAGGCATTTCTACCTGTGGCTGCTCCAATTTAATATGAGATCAAGCGACCTCTCGGCTGTGCTCTTGGAGGAGGAGGGTGGCTGGCGACCCCCAGGTCCAGCCCCTCCCACCACCTGAGAGTAGAGGCTCGGCCTCTATCCTGGATATCTGGGATCCACCTGTGACTTGCCTTCATGACCAGAGCCTCGGTTCCGGCCTTCGGGGGCCCTGGAGGGGCTGGCCAGGGGCCTGAGGGACAGCCCAGAGCCCTGACAACACCCAGGAGCTGGGTCACAGCCCTTGGCGGCCGGATTTCAGATACGAGTGAGTCCTCCATGACAGGGCGGAGGCTTGGAGCGGAGAGGTGACCTTTGAACCACCTGGGGTGGGCGTTCCAGCAGCAGGGCCGACATGCACAGGCCCCGACTCCTGAGTGGGTGCTGCAGGGAGAGGGTTCCGGACAGTGCTGTGGCACCAGGTCCCACGACCGCTACGGGCAGGACAGCGGGGGCCAGGAGGAGGCCAGGGCTGGGGCAGACAAGTGTGTGTGTGGCCGGGTTGGGCTGTCGTGAGCCCGCAGTGTGGGTGGCGGGAACTTTCTGCGCGTTGTGCCCTGGACTGAGGTGGGAACCCGGGAGCCGGATAGAGAGCCAGGTGATGCAGAGGGGCTGAGCTCGGCACATTGGGACCAGAGCGGCTGAGCGCTGTGCCAGCCCCTGAGCAGCTGGGATCACCGGCGCCACCACCGTGCCCGGCTAATTTCTGTATTTTCAGTAGAGACGGGGTTTCACCATGTTGGCCCGGCTGGTCTCAAACTCCTAACCTCAAGTGATCTGCCCACTTTGGCCTCCCAAAGTGCTAGGATTACAGGTGTGAGCCACCACACCCAGCCCCCCCTTTTTTTTTGAGACGCTGCCTCACTTTGTTGCTACAATCTTGGCTGACTGCAGCCTCCACTTCCCAGGTTCAAAAGATCCTGCCACCTCAGCCTCCCGAGCAGCTGGGACCACAGTTGCCTGGCCCATTTATTTTAATAGCTTTATCTCAGTGTTTTCACACACCATACGACCCACCCGGTGAAACGTTTGTGGTACATTTATAAAGTTGTGCAACCACCCCACAGTCTAATTCCAGAGCATTCTCACGGCCTCAAAAAGAAACCCACCTCGTCCCCGTCAGCCGTCACTCCCCGTCCCCTCCTCCAGGCGCCAGTACTGTCTCTGCGACTCGGCCTGTCCTGGACATTTCATAGACATGGGATCACACGCTGTGTGGCCTTCTGTGTCTGGCATCTCTCACTGGACATCATGTCCTCAAGATGCATCCCCACCCCCGTGGCCTGGTCTGGGCTTTGCTCCTTTCCGTGGTTGAGTCATGCTCTGAGGTTCCGGTGGGCACTGGAGCTGCTCCCACCTGCCGGCGACGATGGACACTCACCTGCTCGTTCTGGCCCCGTGAACTTGTGTGGGCAGGTGTCTTCGTTTCTCTCGGGTGTGTGCCTGGAGTGAGGGGACTGTTCGCAGGTCGTGGGGTCGTTCCATCTGGGGGGCTTCTGGGCTCCCAGCAGGCCTGGATGGGGTCTCGCATCTCGTCCTTGCTGGCCCCGGGAAGTGGCGTCTTGCTGGGGCTGGCCAGCTGCATTTCCCGGTGTGCGGTTTGGGGGCGTGTCCTGTGCAGGTCCTTTGCCCGTTTTCAGCTGGGTTATCTGTTTCTGTTTCTCTTTCTTTTTTTTTAGAGACAGGGTCTGGCTCTGTCACTCAGGCTAGTGCCGTGGTGGGACCACAGCTCACTGCAGTCTCGACCTCCTGGACTCAAGCCATCCTGCCTGCCTCCCGCTCCTGCCTGCCTCCCCCTCCTGCCTGCCTCCCGCTCCTGCCTGCCTCCCCCTCCTGCCTGCCTCCCCCTCCTGCCTGCCTCCCCCTCCTGCCTGCCTCCCGCTCCTGCCTGCCTCCCCCTCCTGCCTGCCTCCCCCTCCTGCCTGCCTCCCATCTGCCTCCCCCTCCTGCCTCCCCTCACTGCCTGCCTCACGCTCCTGCCTCCCGCTCCTGCCTGCCTCCCCCTCCTGCCTGCCTCCCCCTCCTGCCTGCCTCCCGCTCCTGCCTCCCCCTCCTGCCTCCTGCTCCTGCCTGCCTCCCCCTCCTGCCTCCCGCTCCTGCCTGCCTCCTGTTCCTGCCTGCCTCCCCCTCCTGCCTGCCTCCCCCCTCCTGCCTGCCTCCCCCTCCTGCCTGCCTCCCCCTCCTGCTTGCCTCCCGCTCCTGCCTCCCGCTCCTGCCTCCCCCTCCTGCCTCCCGCTCCTGCCTGCCTCCCCCTCCTGCCTGTCTCCCGCTCCTGCCTCCCCCTCCTGCCTCCTGCTCCTGCCTGCCTCCCCCTCCTGCCTCCCGCTCCTGCCTGCCTCCTGTTCCTGCCTGCCTCCCCCTCCTGCCTGCCTCCCCCTCCTGCCTGCCTCCCCCTCCTGCCTGCCTCCCGCTCCTGCCTGCCTCCTGCTCCTGCCTGCCTCCCGCTCCTGCCTCCCGCTCCTGCCTGCCTCCCGCTCCTGCCTGCCTCCCCCTCCTGCCTCCTGCTCCTGCCTGCCTCCCCCTCCTGCCTCCCATTCCTGCCTGCCTCCCCCTCCTGCCTCCCGCTCCTGCCTGCCTCCTGTTCCTGCCTGCCTCCCCCTCCTGCCTGCCTCCCCCTCCTGCCTGCCTCCCGCTCCTGCCTGCCTCCCGCTCCTGCCTGCCTCCCCCTCCTGCCTCCCATTCCTGCCTGCCTCCTCTGCCTCCCGCTCCTGCCTGCCTCCCGCTCCTGCCTGCCTCCCCTCCCTAGTAGCTGCAGCTACAGACCTGCCCCAGCACATGCAGCTAATTTGGTTTTGTAGAGATGGGGTTTGGCCCGCGTTGGCCAGGCTTTGGTCTCAAGCTCCTGGCCTCAAGTGATCCGCCCGCCTCGGCCTCCCAAAGTGCTGGAATCACAGGCATGAGCTGCACCTGGCCTGGGCTGTCTTTTCTTTTTCTTTTTTCTTTTTTTTTTTTTTTTTTTTTTTTTTTGAGTTGTAAGCACTTTTTTTTTTTTTTCTGAGATGAAGTCTTGTTCTGTCGCCCAGGCTGGAGTGCAATGGTGCGATCTTGGCTCACTGCAGCCTCTGCCTCCCGGGTTGAAGCAATTCTCCTGTCTCAGCCTCCTGAGTAGCTGGGATTACAGGTGCCCGCCACCACACCTGGCTAATTTTTGTATTTTTAGTAGAGACGGGGTTTCTCCAAGTTGTCCACGCTGGTCTTGAACTCCTGGCTTTCGATCCACCCCGAATCACCCAGAAGTCCCCCAGATGGGCTCCCCCTCAACCTATGACCCGGCCCCCTCCTCCCAGGTGATCCACTTGGCCTCCCAAAGTGCCAGGATTACAGGTGGGAGACACTACCCCCGCCCAGCACTAGGCGGAGTCTGGCTCTGTGCCCAGGCTGGGAGTGCAGTGGCCCGCGATCTCGGCTCACTGCAACTCTGCCTCCCAGGTTCACGCCATTCTCCTGCCTCAGCCTCCCCAGTAGCTGGGACTACAGGCGCCTGCCACCACGCCCGGCCTATTTTTGTATTTTTAGTAGAGACAGGGTTTCACCATGTTGGCCAGGCTGGTCTCCAACTCCTGATCTCAGGTGATCCACCCGCCTCGGCCTCCCGTAGTGCCGGGATTACAGGCCTGAGCCACCGCGCCCTGGTGATGGCGGAGTGTGCCGAGCATTCGTGGGGCCTGGGCTGAGCGTGTGCTTGCCAGCCTCATCAGGAAGCCGGCAGCACTTTTTTATATTTGTAGATGGTGCGTCTTCCTCTGCCCTCATGGTGGGTTCGCGTGCATCTTGGCATCGTTGTCGCCCCACCAGCCTTAGTCCCTCCCACCCAGCATGTGCTTCAGTGGTAGGAGCAGCTGAGGCGGGCACCGCGTGGTGTGGGCAGGGAGCCCAGCTGCTCGGCTCCCCTCGAGCACTGCCCGCCAGACCCCGTTTCTCCCCAAAGCCAGTGGGTGGGGGCTGGGATCTTGCTTGCTGGAGGAGAGGGGACCAAGAGCGCCCAAACCAGGTCCCCGCCCCCACCCGCTGAGACTGGGCTGGCCCCTGTGGAACCTGCATCCCCAGAGCCTGGGGTCTGCCTTGGCTCCCCTCACAGCAGTACCCCATGCACCGTGGGAGCCTCGTCTCCCTGTTTTTGTCGGTGTTACCTGGCGGTGATCTCGGGACCCCCGTGTGAGCCCTTTCTGTGATGTGGCCGTGCCGTGTGAGGCCATTTTGGTGTCGCTGCGGTGGAGTACTTGAGACCGCGGGGTCGTTTAGAGAGAGGTTGATTTGGCTTCGGTTTCCAGTTCGCCCAGGCTGTGGAAGCTTGCATCGGCATCTGCCCAGCTGCTTGTGAGGCCAGGGAGGCACTGCGCTTTCAGCCCAGGCCCCACGAATCGTGGCCCGCTCCACCATCACCAGGGAGCCCAGCCATCCGCCTGAGGAGTCTGCCCGTGAGCCAGTGCCTCAGCTTGAGCCATTCCAGCCCTGGGGATCCCTTTGCAGTGTAGAGGTCCACAGGGGGATGGCATCCACCCTCGGCATGGCTGTGGCTTGAGGCGATTGCTGGGGAACTGTGAGCGTGGGTTTGGGGCTCACTGCGTGGCTGTTCCTGGCAGGGTCCTCATTTCTCCTCTGGGACATCACCGTGTTGACTCGCGTTGTCCTTGGCTCTGGGGGACCTGGGAATGAGGACTTGCAGGGGTGTGGGCAGTGTGGACATGGCCTCCCCCAGCCAGGGAGCGAGCTGTGTGCAGGGCTGCCAGAGCATTCTGGAAAAGGGATATTGGAGCACCCCTCAGTGGTGCCACCTGTGTCAGTAGGTGCCCAGGCGCTGGTGATGCCCGTCATGGTGGGGCATCAGATGGCAGGGAACCACCAAAGGGTCAGCAGGTGGCCGGCAGAGGCCAAGGTCCCTCGGCTGCCCTCCAGGACCCACGGGTTGGGAGCCACCTGGCCAGCCAGAGACCACTGGGTCAGGCCTCTGTCCTCACCCCCTGAGGTTTTGCAGGTCATGCCAGGCGTTGCCAGTGACCCGGCCTCCTGTTTTCCTACAGGATTATATCTGTCAAGATGCGAGTCTGGTTTCATCGAGGAGCTTCCGGAAGAGACCAGGTAATGCAGCCCCCGTTCAAGGAGGCTGGGAGAGCCGGCTGGGCCTCAGCTGCCATAGGGGTGGGGGCTGTGCTGGCGTCCAGCCCCCCGAGTGTGTGGCTGGCAGGCCCTGGCGTCCGTGGCTCTGGGAGCCCTTTCCTCTGTGCAGGCAGCAGCGTGCCATTCTCTTCTGTGAGGAGGCCGGGCCGGATGCTGGCGACCTGTGCAGCCGCTCACCTCCCTCAGCCTTGGCGACTGATCTGGCGACCCAGGCCCTCCGGAGAAGGGGCCACGGGGGCCCCCACCCATCCTCGCTGAGGAGGTTGTTGGTGTCTGCACTCGTTTCCAGAGAAGTCACGTGGTTACTGGCGGGAAGAAGTGGCCGGGTTATGGTGCCAAGCGGCTGGGAGGCGGTGGCAGGTGGGAAGCAGTGCTGAGGACAGTGCCGCGCTCCCAACACAGGCTTTTGAGGGGAGGGAGCGCCTGGCGCGTTGCAGGACACGGGGGCAGCCAGCGCTGCTGACACTCACTGTCTTCCCAGGGACACAGAAAATGGTTCTGCCCCCTCCACAGCCCCACCCGGACCAGAGCCGGCCACCGGTGGAGGTGGTCGCCCGCCCCTCGTGCTTCCTGATGATCCTGTCGGCCTTGCTCGGGGCCCGAGCACCAGCCTGTCCCACCTTGCCTCCTGGGCTCTCCTGCCACGCCACGGCAGAGGACATTCGTCCCTCCAGGGGGCCCGGGCCGGGTCTTGGGTGGCCACGCTGCTCAGTTGGGGCTGATGAAAGTGAGACTTCGTCAAGTGGCTCACACCAGCCAGGCAGGCTCTGCCCAATTCCGCTCCCTCCCGCCCAGCACCCAGCACCCAGCAGGGTCCTGTCTTGCTTTCTCTTTTGTCTTTGTGCCCTCGTGCCCCCAACAGACTGCACGGGCCTGAGCCCCGAGGTCGCGCCCCTCCTCTCTGTCTGCACCGGCCCTGGGCCGAGTCGCGCCCCCTCCCTCTCCCCTGCACACCGGCCTGAGCTCCGGAGTCACGCCCCCTCTCCTCAGCACGTGGATCAGCACCTGTTCACGCTGCCGCAGGGCTACGGACAGTTTGCTTTCGGCATCTTCGATGACAGCTTGGAATCCCCACGTTCCTCCTGGGGCGCAGGCTGACGAGGCAGGGACCCTGAGAGCCGGCGGGAGAGACCATCCGTCCCGGCACCGGTATGGCGCCCGGCAGCCAGCGCCCGCCTCACCACGCGGCGGAGCCACCGGCTAACCACAGAAAGCGCGTCCCCACCCAGCTGGAAGGGTGAGGGGGCCCGGGGGTGGCGCGAGGGCCCCACGCGTGAGGTCGGAAGTTCTGGTGCTTAGAGATTCAGCACGTGTTCCACGAGTGTGGCGTCATCCGAGAGGCTCTCTGGAGAGGCCGCCTGGCCAAGCTCCAGCC